ACTAACAGATATTGTACAATTGCATTGACACTATTACATCATATTACATATAGACTGTCAATAAACAGCGAATTTATTAAACGATCACATCATTATACATTCTTTTCTTCTTATCTTCAATCTATATGAAATCGGTACAAAATAATGCTTTACTTAGTATCAAAATCCCTCTGCTTTTTTGGAGTATAATGTATATGAGTCAATGAGCAGCTTTATAGTGAAATATGAAACCTTTTTATTTTAACAGCCGCGAAAAATTTCTTCTGTAATTGACGATTTCAGTCAATAAAGGCTATCGAATATGACAGACTTCAGTTTTGGATGTTATTTTCGATGTTAGACTGAATACAAAAAGAAAGGAATCTATAATAATGTCATCGTGTAATAAGTTCGTTTGTGATAAACATTCTATATGTATCACTATATAATTGTACCAATACAATTGCATACTATCAGTTAGTTTCATCATAGAACAAAGTTTATGTAAAATTTATTGGTACAATTTTTATGTATAAGTGAATTATGTTATATTTGATAGTCTTCCTCGGTTGACATTGTCAATAACAGAAAAACTTTTTGTAGTTGTTCAAGTAGAAGGTTTTGAATTTAAACAGAAGCTTGTTTTCTGACGAATTTTTTTCGATTATTGAAATACTCTACGCCAAGTACTGTAGAAATTGAGATTTTAAGAAACTTCACAAGCTTTGCAAAAGTAAGAAAATGTGGGTAGATATTAATATCGGCACGAAACGTTTTTGATTCGTTTCTTTACCTCAACCTGTATCCATACATAAAACTTCATACCAGCCCACGTGCACATACGTCTATCAGCCTAAATTCACTCAGTTATTCAGTGAACAGCTAGGGGGAAAAAATCGATTTTTAAGATCCGAATTCATATCGTATAGGTACCATTGAAGTATTATGTCCTCGATCCTATTGTATCGCCAGTATTCATTACATCAGAGATACTGTAAAGTATGTGAGATTGGTGAATCTCAGTAATTAAACCACAGAAGACTTCATCAGATTTCATGGGACTTCAATAGACTTCACCCAACTTCACAAGATGTTAAGAGGCGAATTCCATGGGTATCAATATACCTTGTTGAAACTGTGTGAAACTTCTATAATGTACACGACAAGAAAAACTTGTCATATAGAAATTAAAAGTTGCTCCTTATTTTTGAGAATTGTTTCTCACAACATATCTACATTCAAAGTAAAGGTATGGCAGTGACATAATGCGTCGATCAAATTAAAACTGAGAAAATAAACTTTTTTTGTTTGTGCACACTGGATACGTCTAATCTAACGTTGAAAAACTCTTATTTTTAAGTGCAAATACGTAACAAGACTACATTTATACACAAGCAAATAGTTTGTTGGTTATTCACCGACAAACTTAGCAGTGTATTAGCTGATACATTATTATTAGTGATAAAAATAAACAAAATGGAATGACATTCTTCAGAAAACTGACATTGAGTAGATGGAACATTGCTCATGATAATAATAATAATAAAACCACTTCATTTAAAAAGCATTCAGTAATTAACACATAGTAGATACCAGCAGTGGGTCTTTCTTGGCGAATGTGCTAACTGTGTCATGCTTTCTAAGATTCAAAAAACGTGAATTTTTTTCCAGCACATTGAAAAAAAGTAATAAAAACGTTATCTTTCTGCTAAAGCAGAACTGTCGAAAACAAGAAAATGTCATTTGTTTCTAACGAGTTTTCATGTACTAAATGCACATCAAAACTTCCAGAAGAATTCATGAAACTTCATTAGGCTTCATTAGAGTTCAAGAGACTTAAGAGGATCTCTGAAGACTTTAAAAAGACTTTTAAGACTTCACGGTTTAAGTCTCTGCTGTTCCTCTTTGATTTTCACTTATATTGGAAACCATTTTTTTGAAAAATTCTTCTGTTTACCGTTTTCAGTATTTGAGCTAGTGATGCAAAATATGCCTTATCGGTATGAAGATAAATTAGGATAGAATAGAATTAATTCTTCTTTTCTTGATTTAAGTTTTTATGTTGCAGACAAGCAAGAGTTGAGGCTAGCCAATTGATTTGTCTTCTCATTAGAAGTTACATTAATTTATTTTCAATTTGTAGTATGATTATCTGCTCAAGTACGATTTACACATTTATGTGATAGAGTCATTGTGGATCAATGTTCAATGTATTCGTCGATTTTCCTAAGAAACGCTATTGAAATCTTTTTCCTGAGCTACAGAACGATTGTGCATAGGTCGCAGGCATTTTTTATTATTTTTGATCATCGTTCAGTTACAGAATACCTGATTTCGACCTTTTGTATGCATAATACTGCTTACTTATGGTTAATCAACAGCCCAATTCGAAGATTTCGTTCACCGAATCCCGTTGGATTTTGTAGCAAGATGAAGAAAAATCACACTATCTTGTGGGGCAACGCCGAAAATCGTCAGAACAGGATGTGGGTGAGGAGAAGATAAAAACCCACACCCACACTCACACCAAAAATCGGCCTGAACAGTTATACTTTCAAGGAAATAATTGGGCAACGGGTTTTTTAGAGGTAGTGGGTTCGAATCTTGGGTTCATTCGTCTCGAAATCTGTTGGTCTGTTTGGCAACCAACAGGAATTCACCCCGTAAGAAAATGGACTCAAACACTGATATTTTCATGAGAATGACGAGGCAGGGAGTTTTAGACGTGATTAGTTAGAATCAGAGGTATACTCGCCTCGATATCTGATTGGGTGTCCAAAAGCCAGTAGCGAATCAGCTTTCATGAAGCCAGCTAATCGAAATTATGTTGTCAGGAGAAAAGTTAGATAAGAGTTTTCTGAGGGAATGAGTTCGAATAAGAGATTCAAGTACTGAATATGAGTATAGGGTATGGAAGCCTGTTTCTTTTTCTGTTCATATAAGCAACGACGTCTATGTTTTTTCTTCTTTGTGCATTTGATGTCGGTAATAACTAGCGCCATCAAACTTTCTCTAGAATGCCCCTCAGTCAAGAGAAAAATTGAGATGAGATTGACCCAACAAGCAAGGTAAGAAAAGTAACTGAGCGTAACTCTGCCCAGGTTGTAAAATTTAAAAATTCCTTAATCTCTATCTCTATTTTTAATGTACGTTAAGAAAAAGAATTTTGTCAGGCTGTGCAAAGAGTGACTATGTATTCATACCGGGAACAGCTATGATTCTTATTGATATACCGTTTGAGTTCAAGTGTCTTTAGTTATCTGAACCTGCTGCTTTCGTGAACAACTAAACGTAGTATGCTTGGGAGTTGGAACTGCAAAGAATTTCTATGTTTTAGCCCTTCATATGAAAACCAAGAAGTTTGTGTATCAAAAACATTTGCAATGAACTTTGTATTTCATTAAAGAGTCTTTTCTTATAAAAGAAGTCGATCAAACAAAAAGAACACTGAAAAGGATAGAAATGTTTTTAAAAAAATAAAAAGTGACGAAAATATCAGCTGAAAACAGAAAGTGATTTGAGCATATTTTGCAATATCGAATTCCAAAAAGTTAATGGGAAATCATAATGATATTGTTTTCTAATATGTCAAATATACATATTATTAAATTATCTCAACTAACATCGGGTATCTCCGCTAGTAATTAATAAATATGCTCTCACATGTCTATCATTCTTTATTGTTTTTTTTTCTTATAAAGAAAAAATATCTGTGCTTGATAATAACCACAATTCGTTGTCTTCTATTGATTTTCTTATGAAACAAAAAAAAGAAGCAGTATATTTCATAATCTTTTTTCAGTTTTACCTACTCCATATCATCATTGTTCAATAATAATTTCATCTACACCTACAACAACAAATTCATCGCAACATTCTTTTTGTAAAGATTTAACAATGACATCAATTACTAAATCATACAACATGAATATCAGCAATTTGAGAATTAATTGAAACTGAAAAATCATATGTTAATGATTTACATACTATTGCTAATGAATTCATTAAATCATTAAGAGATAATCAAATTATAAATGATTATGAAATAGAACAATTATTTAGTAATTGATTTAATTTAATTGCATATAATATTGTTCTATTATCAACATTACAAGAACAAATACAATACAAAGAACATATAATCACTTTAGATAAGTATGTATCTATTCTGATATCTCGCTCAGCATCTATGCCAAATATTGCAACAGTTGTACAAGCTGGTATTAAGAATTTAATATAGTTAATATATATATATATATATATATATATATTCATTAACTTTTAGGCAGCAATTAAACATGTTGTCGATTCTCATCATGATTCATTTTTTTTCGTCAAATATCTCATTCACCTTCTATTCATTGATTAAGAGATCGTATTGAATTTCATTTTCCTCATCATTCTCCATCTCCTAATAATTTCAATTGAAAATATTGAAGATTTAAATGATAATATTGTTTCTCAATCATTCCATTTAATAATAAATGAATCAACACAAATTGGTGAATTTTTTTTTCACATTTACCATATACAGTTGATGTTTATTTTCAATATTGTTATAATCATTGAAAATCAAATAAATATTTACAATCTAAAATTGATTTAAATAAACGATTTCATACAAATTTAGAAATTTTTCAAGATAAAACTGATTATTTATAATTAAATAGTCTTTTAACAAAATCAATACAATATGTTATACGTTATTCATTCATCCATTATTAATTGAAAAAATTCTTAAACATTTACCTATTCATCATTTTGATTATCAATCTATTCGACAAGCATTTGAATATACATGTCAATGAAATGAATGAACTAATAAATAAATATGTGAAAAAGAAAATCTTGCATGTTTAGATCATTTATTCCCTTCTCCTATATAAGTATACACCCATCATCATCAATAATCAAACAAAAAAATTCATAAGTTATTCTATATATATCAATATATTATTTATTATAGATGATTTGAAAAAAACAGTTTCATTTTGAAATAAAAGAAAGAATACAGAAAAGAATTAAATTATAAATTTTAAATATTTATTTAGTTCAAAATTTAAATCAAAACGATTTTCGACTTGTACCAGTATACGTCCTTGAGTGCGTAAATGATCGCGAATTTTACAACGACATATTTCTTTTAATGTCAAGCATATTTTATTATTTTTCTTATCCCGCTTTGCCAACTTGATTACCTTAGACAAGAAATTTTCAATTGACAAATATTTAGTTGCATAAAATATGTCTTTCACATAATATTTCAATTCAGATAAACGAGTTATATCATAATCTGTTGGTACAAAACAGCAATATGTTATTAAATAAATGAATAAATTCATTTGTTTCTTAATTAAATTGTATAAACCTACTATTATATGTGCAGGAATTTTTATGTCTACATGATCATAGATTTGATAAAATACGTGTTTTATATAAATATCGATTGGTTTAAGTATAAGTGCAAATGGTGATATAGATGATTGAAAATGAAGTGGATTAAAATGAGCATATTCAATAATTAAATGAAGACATTCAATAGAACCACATGGAGATAATGATTGATTTTTGAACCACCTGAGATTATATTGATCCATAGTAATTCGACGATGTTCAGTTAATAAACAAAGATGAAAAATTTTTTGTTTTTCTTCTTTTGTTAAATAATCTAATTGAAATGGTTTAAATTTAAATAAAATAACTAAAAGATCAGGTCGATCATCACGAATAACATATAATAGTGGAATATCATTTTTATATTCTGATAATTCAATTTCATGTGGCTTATTACGTGCTGAATAATTATATAATTTATTTGAATTAGTAATTCCATTGAGTGGTGCAAATGGAAAATATTTTAATATTATTTTCAATATATTTTCATCACCTAAACAAAATAACATTAATAGATTTTTTTTGTTTTTTAATATTAATATCAAACCTCTTTCACATGCTACTGGTACAAGATTTTTACCACATTCAGTTGAATCATTAATCATATTGAAATATTTACTAAATACATTATCTATAAATATATATGTTGAATGTTCAACAATAATTTGATAAATATTAGAATAATTATAATCAGGTGGAATAGAACAATAAATTAATAGAGGATCATCACTTAATAATTTATCAAATGTATTTGAATCAGATTTCATAATTGCTTCTAAAAAACATTTTTCTTTCTCAGATTGTTGATTCAATTGAATTGTTTTATTTTCAATATATTCAGGTAACATATTTTATCTGAAATAAATAAATAAGATCGATATATTAATTCGTTTAATCTTTATTGAGATAACCGAGAAAAAAAAGATAAATAAAGAATAAAATTCTTGTCTAAAAAAAAATTTAATAAAAATATTTGACATATAACATTTGTTATAAATAATGCTTTTGTTGTAAAATAAAGAATAACCAGATAATTATCTAAATATTTACCCAAAAAAACAATTTCGTACAGTCATATATATATATATATGTCTTTAAACTAATACGTTTATGTTTTAATATTCATTGATTATTATCAAGAAACAAAGAAAAAGTCAATTGTCATATATAGATTCTTTATTATTCTTTAAGAATAAAGAAAGAATACTACTATAGAATAAAACAAAGAAAGAAAGAAAGAAAGAAACAAAGTAAGTAAGTAAGACGAATTACATAGAATAATTCGATGAATTAATTAATCATTGATATTATTTGATGAACATGTTTTGAAAATAATATAGGGCATTATAAGCAGATGTCACTTGATAACATGTGAAAAATTTGTTTTTATAATATTGCATAGAAGAAAATAGTATGTGTTCAAAAATAGCAATAGATTTCTAGTTGTTTATTCTATATGTTACCTTATATTATATGATACTGATCAATTAATATTATCATATAAAGAAAGTTTATATTAAAAGAGATGAGAGATACATCAAAGAGTAAGAATAGGGGAAGTGAAGAAGTAAAAGAGAGTTGTACAGGAAAGTGCTGAGCTAATCAAGAACGAAAAACATGTTCATATTTTTTCTTAACATGATCACTATAATTTTTTGCTGTTTATATTGTAACTAAGATTTTTCATTCGGACGTACCTTTCGATAATGAAAAAAAAATCGATTTTATGCTCTGATCTTTTGTGAAAGAACATTTGTCTTGATGTCAGTTTCAGAAAAACTCTAAATACTTTTAACGCCGAAGGCATTCTCACTAGTCACTATTGATCACAAAACTATGTGTTTCAGAAAGCACAATAAATCGAAATTTTGTCGACTTCACTTTTAAGAGACGATCCATGAGAATATTGAATATTATACAATAGAGCTATATATGCTCAAGAATTTTTGATCATTTTAGTTTTTGATTGCAAATGAAAGAATATCACCGAAAGTCTCTAAATCCAAAATTTTAGCCCCTTCTAACTGACCTTTCAAGAGTTATGAAGTACACACTGAATGAACTTGCAACAAGAGTTTTTGAAAAACTTTTTTTTTCATATTCAAGTTGTTTAATTAATATTTGATCATTTTCTCCATAATAGCTCAGTAGAATATTTTTGAGTTATATCTCATGTGATAGAGCAAATTTCGTTCCAAAAAACTGTATATATGACCTTCTCTTCAATCTTCATTACATAAGTATCCCAGGTGCAAAACTAGATCATTCCTACTATCTTTTTCACCTTTTTTTTCTCGTTTTTTTTTCAGTGTTGGCTGTATTTCTTTGCTAATTCTAATGGTCCCGAAAATTTTTTTATAAATTTTGATAGAGCACGAAAAGAGCTATTTAATGAGTAAAAAAATGTTTGAAATTCGAGTAGCAAAAAGCCTTCATCTGAACTACACAAAATATTCTATGACCCTATTAATAATCATATTTTCATTATTTTTTTTATATCTTTATACATATTTCAATTCTGAATTTTCTTCAAACTAAAAAGTCAATTTATATTTATTTGTTAATATTGAAAAATGCATCAAACAGGCTATTTTAGAAATGTTTAAAGTCATCTTTAATGGATGTTTCACACACAATATGTAATCATTATAAGATTACATCGATACTTCAAATAGAAGTCATCCTGAATTAATAATAAAATAGAGATATTTCCGCATAATTCCGCTTATCTTTTGTAGCTCTCATTGAGTTGTATAGGAAATGATCTTTAGTTTTGATTCGAATCATGCGCTAACTGCAGTAGAGTAGACTCACAAGTCAATTTTATCTAAAAATTGGTCACCGAAACTCCTCTGTTTTACTCTTCGTGAATGTTCTTTGAAAATTTGATTTAATTAGTAGATCGAGCATAAAAAGTTGTCTCTGTAAAATAATTTTCACAACTATATCTCTATAACTCATTGTTTAGTAGTATTTGCAAATTTGAGGAAAATGAAGTTTCCATATATAAAAATGTTCTCTTCATAAAACTTTAACAATCAGTCATTGATTCTAATATATGAGGATCAAAATGAAGCTTACACTATTGTTATTCAAATGCAATATACTAGATTTCTAAAAAGCATTCTACACTCTAGATATGTGCCTCTCAGATGGATGAGAATCTTGAAAAATTCTATATTAGGACTCAATTTTCTCGAAAACTATACGTCAGAATTTCTCGAAATTTCTTTTTTGAAGAGTTTTGTTGTAAATTTGAAAAATTCTCATTTCGCAAATAAGATTTTTCAATAACTCCTTAAATTAATTAATCTTCTCTGTTTTTCACTTTCAAAATAGTGTATGTTTCCAGTTGTTTTTTTCACCGTTGTTGAGTAAGAAAAAGAATTATATTTTTATTCAATTAACGTTTTATTTTTCCACGAGAAAGTAGAAGCATAACCACTGAGTATCTAATCAAGTAGGTAACATTTTATTGTTAAGATTCGAAAAATTGAATTCTTATTCAATGATATTTAGATTTGTTCAATGAAACATTCTTTTTTTTTCTATTCAAAAAAGTTGCTGTTTTCGTCTACATATTCTGCTCAATAGAGATGATCGATTCATAAATCTAATACAATAAATTTATCGTCATGAAATTATAGATTTCAAGAAAATAAAAAAATATAATTCGCTGCATGACATTTTTCAGAAAATTTGCCTAGAGAAAAATCGACATGAAAAAATTTTTACATTTCTAACGAATAATTTCTTATACTTGCTGTACTTCGAAATTGGCTATTCAGTTGGATCACTCGATTTAAAAAAAATATGATTATCGTGATAGTTTTCACAAACAAAATGATAAGACACTTTAAAGTTGAAAAATATCTTTGTAAAGTAGTAGAAAAACACCGAACATGCTCGTCTTGACATTTGTTGATTTTTCTCTTCAATAAACATTGACTTTGGAAAAGAGAAAAAGTTTTTTACAAAAAATCTAGCCCAGATGACTTTTCAATTGTTCATGACTGTCCAATCCTTAAAATAATTTGACTGTGGTACTGCTCAATACTGAAAAATTCTTGGCTATGCCACTATACTCTATTCTATCTAATAAAATAATTAATATAATACAATATATCACTTTTACAATTATATATCATCCAAATCGATGCGAACATTGACAGAACACATTCCGAACAGACAATAATGGTCGAATGTATTAGGTCATTTTTGTCAAATCGAAACGCGTTCTGTCACTATTTGCCTCAACCTAGGATAAATCATTGATTATGAATACATAATTGATTTGTTTTTATTATTTATTCAACTATATCAA